TTTGCGTAGACGAAGAAATGCGTGGACGAAAAAATGCTTGACGAAGAAATGCGCGTACGAAGAAATGCGGATACGAAAAAATGCGCTACGAATATTTGCGCTTACGAAGAAATGCGAGACGAAGTTATGCGACACGAATAAATGCGCCGACGAAGATTTGCGGACGAAGAAATGCGGACGAAGAATTGCGCGACGAAGAAATGCCATACGAAGATTTGTCCTGGAATCCAACAGCATATTTACGTCTGGACAACGAGTTGCGTTGGAGAGGCCGGAAATAGTGGCGATCTCAGGACCGCAAGAATGGACCGTCATTGGAATGATTCTTTTTTAAACCGCGCACTGTTTTCGGCGGGAATTTAATAGTTACTACAAAATATTTTGTAATTACGTTTCCACCAAGAATGAATGCCATCAGCGCTAAATTTTTACTACTTTTGCATTTTGTCAAGAAGCATATAGTGCTGTTATATTGCAGTTTTAGCGCGATTGTTACAAAATATGAAGCGAATAAGCGCCAGTGTAATTCATATACCTACACTGTGTAATTCATCAGTGTCAGAAGTTAACTTGTGGGGAAGATATGATAATTGCTCTTGTCCATCCACTAGAAGTTATTAAATATTTTGCTTTGTGTATTCCAAAAGGAGAGGGAACTATTTTATTTGTGCCTTCATGTCTGAATTGAAGGTAGATCATTAAATTTTCAAGGCAGTTTACAAACAAGCATTTGGTCTTTCTCGTACATAAGCAGTGGCTAAGAAGAAAAGGTTGATCAATCCTGAAGTTCAGTCATCGTACCTCAACTTGGCAGCAAGATCCCCAAGAACAGAGGATATATTGTATACCTGTCCTGTAAATCAAAGCATTTTTGTGCCTGCAAAGGCTTAAGTTCTTTGTGGTGTGTTCGGAGTGAGGCTATATGGCCGTTTTTGTTGTATGTTTATGTGGATATTGAATATAACTGTGACCCTGTGCTTGTTTGTATACTTACTTTGGTCAAACAGGGAACAGCACATTCACATAACATACTCACCTAGCACCTAACTCATAACTGTACCCTGCAGGATCTGTACTTGTTCATGTCTCGAGCATTAATAAAGCACTAAAGTAGCTTAGTAATCATTTCCCACATTTTCTGAGCATCTAACATGACATACAGCAGTGCAGAGCAGCTTCAGAGAAGAAGCACTTTAAATGCACAGACTCACCAGCCACCCAATGAGCCAGTTCCTCAGTTGACTGTTTCCCTGGATGCAGCTTGGCAAGGTGAGCTAACTATTGGCAAGTTGAAGGTTAGCAGGTAAGATTGAGTTAGGGTGAGTACCTACCTATAACTGGGTGCTACTGCTATGCAGGTCTTGGGTAGGTTGCAAATATGTGTGATGATTGAGGTTAGGTCAGCTGTCGGATTATTCAGGTATGCTCATTGCTCAGGTCACATTTTTATGGACACTTGGCAAATTAAAAAACTAACATAACCTAATCTAAGCTCAATCTTGATCTAAGCTAACCCGACTAAACCTACACAACTGCTGACTATAGGAACTAAGCACCTACCTACTTGTGCCTACATCTCATACCATGTCAAAGTAGAGTTCCTTGGTGGAAGATTACCCTCAGTACTTTTTATCCCAGCCCTGTGAAGAAAACTAATACTTCTAAGCTCGAGTCACTGCTGGCCATCCACAGGAAGAAACGCTGAGACTGAGAGCTTTGCCATTGTATATTGGACCAACAATCACTATCACGAATGACTATGAACACATTATATGATCACTATCATTGACAATTTTATAACAATCCTTTTTTCAAGAAATACAGTAATGATTAACTTCAAAATCAACATAAAGTGGATTTAGTGATCCAAGCTTTCTCCTCCAGTAGCAATGGAATGATCGCATGTTTCATTTGCCAGACACTGAGTACCTGATGCACATTACAATCTGCATAGCATCTAAGCATAGTAAAGCTGCCAAAGTCCATTCATTCTATATTTTTAACTTGATAATTAGCACAAATTTATCTTGCTGTTGTAAGCTATGGTTATTGTAAAAAACCTGGAGTGCTTCCTTCTGTCTTAGTCTTTATTCAGTCAGACTGCCGATCTTGAGGCCAACACAACCCTGTAAGCCGAGAGATGCTGCGCATTAGACAGAGCAAATCACAGTGCCAATCGTTACATCTTTACATCTCTCCCTTGCGCCCAAAAGCGGGAAGAGGGGCCCAGCAGCGCAGTGCCAACATAACATACGGTAGTGCTTAGCAAAATGATAATTGACTTGGTCGCTCACTCGCGAACCGGCGATCAACACGATGACGCAGTATCCCACTCACGAGCGCGATCAACGAACAAAAAAAATTACGCAGTATCGCTCGTATCACCGGCGACCGGCGATCAACACGATGACGCGGTATCGCTCGTATCACTCACGAGCGCGATCAACGAACAAAAAAATGACGCAGTATCGCTCGTATCACCGGCGACCGGCGATCAACACGATGACGCGGTATCGCTCGTATCACTCACGAGCGCGATCAACGAACAAAAAAATGACGCAGTATCGCTCGTATCACCGGCGACCGGCGATCAACACGATGACGCGGTATCGCTCGTATCACTCACGAGCGCGAACAACGAACAAAAAGATAGCGCAGTATCGCTCGTATCACGCATGAGCGCGCGACAACAAGTGCGTTTGTATGGCACGCGATGAGTGGTAGGTGGTTCACATCACGACACGGACGCAAACAGCGGTTCGTGGTCGCATGTTTTCAGTGGGGAACGTAGTCGGACCAGTAGGCCGGCGGGCGGGTACGCCTTTTTGGGCGCCCCGCAGCCGGGGGATCGTGCGTTTGCTGGTGTCCGGCGACGGGATCGGGGGTGGGTGTCACGCCTACGACGGGCCCAGAGGTGGCGGTGCCCGCCGCCGATGGAGGAGCGGGAGAGGTAAGTGTCCCGGGTGCCCGATGTGCTCCCGGTGTGCTCCCAGCACGGTCCTGACTGACTGGTGCGACTGGTCCCAGGGACGGCCCTTCGTCGTGATAGCGGTCCAGCGGGTAGCGGTGCTGTCTGTAGGTGGGTGGCCGTGATGGTAGGCAGACCCGCTTGAACTTTTGGGCGTCTCTGGTGACGGTCTGCTGTCCCCGAGCTGCTGTGATCCGTGTGCCTCGTGCGCTGGTTACCGTGTACGGTAGGGGGTCGTACCGAGACGCTGTTTTGCTCCTCTGCCCCAGGAGGAGGACGGTGTCCCCCCGTCTGATGTTGTGGGGGGTCACGTTGGCTGGGCGGTCCTTGTACGCCTTTTGGGTTTGTTTTGCTTTCTGGTGTGCGTCTCGCACGCTCTGGTCGTCGTGCGACGGTTGTGTTGGCCTCTTAGTCCAGGTGGCTGGTAGACGAGCACGGTATGTCCTGTTGAACAGAAGTTCAGCCGGTGGCCGTCCCGTGCTAGTGTGCGGCGTCGCTCTGTACTGTCTTAGGAGCTTGTAGAGCTCTTGCTTCGGGTTCTTGTGTTCAACCCGTGCCGTGTGCCAAGTTTTCTTGATTGCCTTCATGAAGTTTTCCACTAGGCCGTTGGCCTCAGGGTCCTCTGGCGTCGTTTTCTGATGCTTGAAGCCAGCCCAGCGGGCGTAGGCGGCGAACTCATGGCCATTGAAAGGCGGTCCTCCGTCCGTTCTCACCGTTTCTGGCATGCCGTGCGTGGCGAAGATCTTGTCGATTAGGGGGATGGCTGCTTGTCCGCTGGTGCTGCTGGTGATCTCCACTTCTGGGAATCTGCTGTAGTCGTCTATGACCACTAGAAGGTACTCTCCATTGCTCAGCGGGCCCCAGAAGTCCGCCGACACTTTCTGCCATGGCCTTTCAGGTAATGCGCTGGGGCAGAGTGGGTCTCTGGTGGGCTTGTAGACTGTGGCCTGACAGGCAATGCAGCCCGACACCTTTTCCTCCATGAGTGTGTCCATACCCGGGAACCACACGCAAGCCCGCAGGAGCTTCTTTGATTTTTCCACACCTTGGTGGCCCTCGTGCGCCAGTTCGAGGTTCTGTACCAATACATCAATATGCGCTCATCAGTCATTTTCTGGCATGATCCTGCTCAGCGCGATCTTCAGTATTGCTCCAAGACCTGCAAATTATAGCTTGTTTTCGGCAAATAAGCTCTTTAAATTTTACTTTTTCTTGCTGATGAGCCCGATCAACTTGTGTTTATCAACCAAAATTTCATAACTTTAAGTTCAACTTGATATCAATATTGATATTGTTCAGGAGTCAGGACCTCTGTCAGCCTCCTGGATACTTCGGATTGTTTTCAGTCACATGCTTCTTAAATATGATATAAGTCAATTAAGGGATTCAAAACATCCAACAATACGACGTACAAGAGTACGGAAACAACCAGGCGCCTTCGGAGCCAAGTGGTGCTCTCCATTTGTTTGTTTACAATGATTGTAGTGCTGATGTATTTTTAGGACTCTGAAGATCGGCTTATAAAAAATGAAACGTTTTTACAAAATTTGTAAGGCAATTAATATTTATCTGAAAGAACTAAAATATTCAAAAGCCAAACACTATGAAATACATAAATCGGAACGAAAAAGTAACCCCAAAATCCAGCCTAATCACCGGCTCCTAAAACAGCAACAAAATCAGCACTTTTCCCCGCAACTCGTTGTCCAGACGTAAATATGCAATCCAACAATGCATACAATGGCAGGGTAGGGAAAAAACGAGAAGTTATAAAGAAATTCGCTAGAAAGTGTAATATATTTTTCGTAAGCTTGGAGAAAAGTCCATAAAATAGAAAAAGATACCATACCACACCAACACGATAAAAATTAATGAACTTGAAAAAACGTGATGTCTTTCGCCTGCTTTTGTTCAATTGAACGCAATCAAAAAAAGAAAAAGTTTTTCTCTTATTTCTTATGAAAATCCCAAAGTAAAAAAGAAATGTCATATAACGATCTATATTAAAAAGTTTGTTTTCACTTAACTGGCGCTCTTCAGGCAAAATATGACGCACAAGTCTTCCAGTGCGATCAAATCCATTTATTTTCTGTATTTTGAGGTTTTTAAGTAAAGTATTGTATCATTTACTAAATTCCCTCCATTCTGTGAGTATCAAAAGTACCTGCCATGTTTTAAGCTGGACTTTAAAGTCATAGACTTTTACTCAGGTAGATAAATTAATTGTAATGGTATACCTACTTTTCAGAGTTTCAAGAGTCATATGTAGCAAATACCGCGTATTTTTATTTAAATGATGGCAAATATTTCGACCCTCATTGAGGAGCCTTTTTCAATGTGAAAGTTTTGTAGAACAGTCTACGTAATTTATTATTTATGTAAAATACACAATTCTACGTAATTTCGCATTGAAAGAGGCTCCTCAATGCCCAATGGGGATCAAAATCGAATTTTTTTCCATTAGTTAAATGAAAATAGATGCTATGTACTCTCGAAACTCTGAAAAGTATACCATTGACTGCCATGTTTTGTTAGGCAAACCTGACTGTTTTGTCCTTATCGAACCAAGAAAGCAAACCATTGTGTTATTGGTTGCAATGGTTCAGGTTGTAGGTAATACTCCTGAGTTCTATGGCCTATGCCCTATAAGCTTAAAATGTGACAATTTGGTTCTTAAAGTTAATGCAACCTGACACTAAATGCTAGCAGCTATTTTTTAATGATAAAATTTATGGGTATATTTTCATTTTAGGAATAAAGAATGTTGCAGCAGTTTGTTTTTCTGCTGCTAAAACTGACCTTAGACCAGAATATCTAATACCTATTCTAGATAATTGGGAGAATTTGGATTTGGATGCTGTCAAGCATTCCAACAAAGCTGGACATCAGACAAGACCTGCTCCATTAAACTGGCTTCATCTGTTTGGTGCTGCCACCACCAATATACCTATATCTAGGTCAGGGTGTCTACCACAACAAAAAAGCATCCTTGTCAGTTGTCACTGCTGGGAGTTTTTTTATATAGGTACCTACTGAGCATCAAAGCAACCCAAGAGACTTTTGCCACAAAGGGTCCAGCTTTTGCTGCTCTACACTAACTAAAACAGGGCTACAGGACAGTGATATAGTCAATTCAGACAGTCAATTCAAGTTGTAACAAAAAGACAATTAGGCAAAGTATGTATATGGCTAATATAAAATGTTCTGTTACAGTGTGCAGGTGGAGCCACCATGGGAGGCACAACAAGTACAAGGCGAATTAGTGTTTCAAATGAAGAGCCAACAGGTGTAATCAAGGTGTGAAATATGAGTTGCCTTTGTTGAATCAATGGAAGTCAATTATTTGCTGAAGACTTTTTAAAGAGCATTAGTATGTGGTGAAAATGTGATTATTTTCTGCTGAAATAGGCAACCACCTAACTCATGTGTTCATCCATGTATGATATTTCATTTTCATGTATGTACTTGTGCCTACCTGAGCCAAAAAAAGTAACAATCATCATTTTCAGATATCTGATTCTGTGGTTCACCGGATCCGTAATGAGCTTCAAAACCAGTCATCCGAAGAGCCAAAGTCCCGTGAGGAGTCAAAGGCGGCCCCTCCGCCTCCGCCGCCGCCGCCGCCGCCTCCCCCAGCACCGGTAGCGCCCCCGCCGCCTCCCCCGCCGCCGGCCGCCCCGGTGATGCCGGAGCGGCGCACTCTGCCTCCCCCTCCGCCGGCGCCGGGTCGCTACTCGGAGGAGGCCTACATCTCGTTGATGAAGCTGCGTGAAGAGAAGGACGCCGAGCTGCGCAAGATGGAGCAGACGTGGCGCGACAAGATCAATGATATGGAGAAGCGTCACGCCGAGCAGCACGGCCTGACCACGGAGGCGTTCCACCGCACCCTGGCCGAGGTGCAGGGACTCTTCCTCAAGGCCTCGACCACGCCCATCTGCCAGGACGGCCAGGTGAGGGTCGGGTGACGCCGGAGTACACTGCGGTGAGCGGAGGGAAATGACCTGCTTGCTGTTAGAATTGATGCGAAAGTTGAAGTGCATCATGCTCTCTGAGAGGTCGTATTTGGGACACATGGTGGAATAACATGCCAAGCCAATCCCTCCACTGTATATCCACTCCCTCTATACCCTGATATCGGTATCTGAGTTTAATGGTTGGCTATTTGTTCCCAGGAGCGCGTTATGAACTGCTACTCGGACAACCCCAAGCAGAGTTTGAAGTGCGCCAAGGAGGTGCAGCAGTTCTCAGAATGTGTCGATCTTACTCGCCTGGTGAGTATTAAGATAACGATGCGTCTGAAAAGGTTTACGTTAAGTAAGACAGACGAAATATCATGGGGTTCGTTTTGTTAAAAGTTACTGCGAATGTTACGTACAGTATCGAAGGACCACGATCATTTTACAAATGCCCAACGATTCAGTATAAAAGATCGAATAGGATCTGGTGGTTGACTGGCCGAGCTATGACTGATCTCACTTGAATTATACTGTGGTTAATGTGGATGTTCAAGGAAATGCATATAAACCTAGTTTAAGGCATGAAGTGCCACCCTTACTCATAAGTCTCTGCTCAAATAATATAACCAACATGCATTTGAAAATTAAAGGTAGTGTGCCACCTTTGAAAGATTTCCCATTTTATTTTTCCTAGGATAAGAAGCTTCTGTTTTTACCTAATATCGCAAAAAAATCAAAAATGGGCCTGGAATAGTGCCTTTTTCGCCTAAAAGTTTTTCGGTTTTTAGATATGTATAACAACTGTAGTGGGCACACCTGCAAACAGGCGTCGGGCAACAATTGCGAATGCGGCGCACTTGTGACAATAAGCAAAGGTCATTATAGTGTTACGGCATATTTACGTCTGGACAACGAGTTGCGGGGAAAAGTGCTGATTGTGTTGCAGTTTTAGGAGCCGGTGATTAGGCTGGATTTTTGGGTTACTTTTTCGTTCCGATTCATGTATTTCATAGTGTTTGGCTTTTGAATATTTTAGTTCTTTCAGATAAATATTACTTGCCTTACAACTTTTGTGAAAACGTTTCATTTTTTTATAAGCCGACGTTCAGAGTCCTAAAAATGCATCAGCACTACAATCATTGTAAACAAACAAATGGAGCACCACTTGGCTCTGTTCCAAGGCCATTTTTTAGTTTATCTGGCGGTTTTCTTGCTCTTGTACGTCGTTTTGTTGGATGTTTTGAACCCCTTAAGATTGACTTATATCATATTTAAGAAGCATGTTGACTGAAAACAATCTGAAGTATCCAGGAGGCTGACAGAGGTCCTGATTACTGAGCAATATCAATATCAAGTTGAACAAGTTATGAAATTTTGGTTGATAAACGCAAGTTGATCGGGCTCATATATCAGCAAGAAAAAATAAAATTATAAGAGCTTATTGTCCAAAAACAAGCTATAATATTGCAGACCTTGGAGCAATACTGAAGAGCACGCTGAGCAGGATCATGCCAGAAAATGTTGAATCGATGAGTGCATATTGATGTATTGGTATGAATATTGAATGATAACTTACAACAGCAAGATAAATTAGTGCTAACTATCAAGTTAAAATCTAGAATGAATGGACTTGGGCAGTTTTACTATGCTTAGATGCTATGCAGATTGTAATGTGCATCAGGTACTCAGTGTCTGGCAAATGAAACATGTGATCATTCCATTGCTACTGGAGGAGAAAGCTTGGATCACTAAATCCACTTTATGTTGATTTTGATGTTAATCATCATCACTGTATTTCTTGAAAAAAGGATTGTAGTAAAATTGTTAATGTGACAATCCATGCAACGATGTGATCATATTATGTGTTCATAGTCATTCGTGATAGTCATTATTGGTCCAATATACAATGGCAAAGCTCTCAGTCTCAGTGTTTCTTCCTGTGGATGGCCAGCAGTGACTCAGAGCTTAGAAGTATTAGTTTTCTTCACAGGGCTGGGATAAAAAGTACTGAGGGTAATCTTCCACCAAGGAACTCTACTTTGACATGGTATGAGATGTAGGCACAAGTAGGTAGGTGCTCAGTTCCTATAGTCAGTAGTTGTGTATGTTTAGTCGGGTTAGCTTAGATCAGATTGTTAGTTTTTTAATTTGCCAAATGTCCATAAAAATGTGACCTGAGCAATGAGCATACCTGAACCTGACTAACATGACAGCTGACCTAACCTCAATCATCACACATATTTGCAGCCTACCCAAGACCTGCATGGCAGTAGCACCCAGTTATAGGTAGGTACTCACTACTCACCCTAACTCAATCTTACCTGCTAACCTTCAACTTGCCAAAAGTTAGCTCACATTGCCAAGCTGTGTCCAGGGAAACAGTCAACTGAGGAACTGGCTCATTGGGTGGCTGGTGTGAGTCTGTGCATTTAAAGTGTTTCTTCTCTGAAGCTGCTCTGCACTGCTGTATGTCATGTTAGATGCTCAGAAAATGTGGGGAATGATTACTAAGCTACTTTAGTGCTTTGTTAATGCTCGAGACATGAACAAGTACAGATCCTGCAGGGTACAGCTATGAGTTAGGTGCTAGGTGAGTATGTTATGTGAATGTGCTGTTCCCTGTTTGACCGTAAGTATACAAACAAGCACAGGGTCACAGTTATATTCAATCTCCACATAAACATATGTACAACAAAAACAGCCATATAGCCTAACTCCGAACACACCACAGATAACTTAAGCCTTTGAAGGCACAAAAATGTTTTGATTAACAGGACAGGTTTACAATATATCCTCTGTCCTTGGGGGATCTTGCTGCCAAGTTGAGCTATGATGACTGAACTTCAGGATTGATCAATCTTTTGTTAGCCACTGCTTATATACGAGAAAGACCAAATGCTTGTTTGTTTTGATTTACAGGACATGTATACAATAAATCCTCTGTCCTTGGGGGATCTTGCTGCCAAGTTGAGGTACGATGACTGAACTTCAGGATTGATCAACCTTTTCTTAGCCACTGCTTATAAACGAGAAAGACCAAATGCTTGTTTGTAAACTGCGTTGAAAATTTAATGATCCACCTTCAATTCTGACATGAAGGCACAAATGGAATAGTTCCCTCTCCTTTTGGAATACACAAAGCAAAATATTTAATAAATTTTAGTGGATGGACAAGAGCAATTAGCATAGCTTTCCCTCAAGTTAGGTAACTTCGGGCACTCTGTTGATGAATTACACTGACGCTTATTCGCTTCATATTTTGTAACAAACGCGCTAAAACTGCAATATAACAGCACTATATGCTTCTTGACAAAATGCAATAGTATTAGAAATTTAGCCCTGATGGCATTCATTCTTGTAAGAAACGTAATTACAAAATATTTTGTAGTAACTATTAAATTCCGGCCGAAAACAGTGCACGGTTTAAAAAAGAATCATTCCAATGACGGTCCATTCTTGCGGTCCTGAAATCGCCACTATTTCCGGCCTCTCCAACGCAACTCGTTGTCCAGACGTAAATATGCAGTGTTACGACCATACGACGTACGGGAATGAGTTATCAGCTGTCTAATCGTAGACAACACAATGTCGAGCCTTAAACTGTAAGCCCGTATTGGTATTGTTTCTTTTATTTGGCTGTCGAACATTATTTATGGTTTGAAATATGATTTTATGTAAAATAATTGATATGAAAAAGCCGTCTTATAAGTTATGACCCCATTTCACCACACGCAAGTGGCAGAAATGACAATGATCAGCTGACGCATTTTTCTTGGCCGAAGTCAGAGCGCGCGGCCCGACGCACCACGCGTATTTGGAAATTCCGACCTCGACGAGCATCAGAAGCCACCTAACAGGCGTGTTCGAAACCGCAGGAGATGATGATGAACGGGTTTATCGAAACTTGATTGGATGAGCATATCGGTAATAGCGATTTCAGTGTGTGCATTTATTGTTCATAGTGGTGTGAAATGTGGTTGGGGTACGACCGACAACCCGTCGGGGCGAATTTCGCACTGGGGTACTCAAAATTTGAAGAATTTAAGACGTTTCCATGAGTTTTGAAGGTATGGATAAGTTCTAAAAATCCGGTTCTCCTTATCTGGGCCATTAACTCCATACGGTCCAGGAAAGCTGGCACACTACCTTTAAGTAAGTATCTTGATTAATAGAATTAACCCAGCATTGGGTTGCCCGCATTTATCCCAAATCCATCAGTACACCAACGTTATGTCCCACTCGCGACTACCAGGAACAGCTTGTCGGTATACCCCCAATCCTGTAACGGCCCTTATGTTTTGTTCCAGAACCGTCTAATGAGATGAAGTTCACCCCCGTGCGCCGGGATTTAGACCGTGGCGGCTGACGATGCCGTTTTGGGTGTGACAGTGACAACTATGTGTTGCGGCGTGCTGCTGAAAAGCCGGCGCCGGGTGATATATTCGACTGATTCAGTTGAAATACAGACGCAATTATTACTCATTCACGCAATATCTTTTCATCGCTTTCACCGACAAGCTGAGTTTAAATGCATTCGTCGTACATTTTTGTGTATATTACACCCTATTATAATCACTGCAAGTAATGATCACACGCAACAGATTTTATACAGCAACATTTCACATGTACTCGCGATCTCTGGGAGGGTTCTTCTTCCTATACTTGACTCCAGTACTGAAAGAAGGGAAGGTAGTATTAGACTGTGATGAATTAGGACGCGTTGGGATAAATTATATTCACTTATTTGATAAATATTTGCTACATAATTAAGAACACGAAGAGAGCAGGTATACCTTAAAAGTTCAGCCAATTAGCGACTGATTGACGATGATTCGGGAAATAATCCGCCTAATACGTTGTCCTCTCTTTCAGTGATATTATTTTTTACCTTTGTTAGATTCAAGGATGCATTACTTACTGTGGGAACCAGATGTGTTTGTTGGTGTGCGTCAGCTTCATGAGCTCCTCGCGGACCTGTTTGTCGGAGCGCCGCACAAACATGTGTTTGTAGCGCTGCACCCCCTGCAGGGAGGCGTCCAACGCGTCGGTGAAGGGAGCCCGCAGCGCCGTCTGGTCCGCCAGGCTCTCCTCCGCCGGCAGAGGCTGCGAACGGCGGTGAAGGGTCGTCACACTGACGCCAGACCACATCAGCAGTATTCAGCGCAACACACATGTTACGATTAGGCTGGAGTCTCCGAGCAAGTAGGTAACATCGATACATCGGTAATGCGCGACGGACGAAAACCACGAAAACAATAGTTAAATAGTGTCTCACTTCTAAAAATAGATCTTCAGCTAATTCTGAACGAGTTAATGTCTGCTTTGCTACAAGTCATTTTTCCCATGGATGAATCGTTCTAAAATGGACGAATAATCGCAAGTGGTGAGTTCTCACCTTTGAGCATTCGTAGGGAAAATCCTGTTCTGGATGCCAGCAGACGATTGTGGAGCCATTGCTGGATACCACAACTTTGTGCTCCTCAGCCCTGTGATGTACACAAAGAAGATGACAGTGATGACAGCAGTGGTGTGGAAGGGTCAATGGTAGGTACTTTTATGGACACCCTCGATTTTCTTAGATGCCAATACTGTATGCAAATCACTGCATTGAGTCATAATTTTTGTCACAAATCGCAGAAAAGACAAAAAGTTGTTAGCACAGCTGTGACAACCGACAAATCTGTGTAACTATAAAGTAACTTACCCAGATGTAAGTGGTGAGCTGGCACTAGAAGCACATCGATGCAACAAATCTGAAAATATTCCAAGTGTTTCAAACTTGTGTTGGTGTGGGAATAGCTGGATCAGGTAGTCACACACCCCTGATGGAGGTAACTTTTTGCATAAAATCTATTTCTAAATTCTTCACAGGAAGAAATACTCAATTTTCTCATGAATTAGGTATTGTGTAGGCCATTGACATTTATTAAGAGCAGTAACATAATAGATTCAAATTGCAGTCTAACTTTAAGCAGTCAACTAGGATGCAAAAAAAAATGCAGGATTTCACACCCACAAAGTTTGAGGTGTAGATATGGCACAAACTGCTGAAAGTACTCACATCTTGAAAGGGATTGACTACTGAAAATTCGAGCAGAAGATGTTATCAGGGCCATTTCATACCAGCAGTTATTTCCTAAATGGGATATTCCTTATGACCTGAAAAGAGGAACAACTGTCAAAGTTGGTAGATGTGGATCAATAGCTTGAACTGACCCCTACTCATCTATCCACGCTTTCGACTGTGATTGTGCCTTGATTGTGCCTAGATAAGACATCACAAGCTAAATAAAAATATTGTCTGTCTACGACTCTACGTGCTGAATTTTAGGTCCTTTATGAGCTTGAGATGAACCAGCAGAGCAGTTACAACTCTAATTGAGGACCATGCTACTGAATACTTGTTGCAGACAGGACTGGGACCAGTGACTGGTGCTGACTGCAGACTGAGCTGCGTAGATGCCAATAAACCCACAATTCACATAAGTAATATATGTTTATCATTACACACCTAGGCACCCATTGTCAAGCCTAAATGCCCTATAACAGCCTAGTACTGGGCTTCCTCAATCCTCTTGGTCACATAGGTATCCACATTACAATGTTCCATGCTTTTGCCATGCATCCCATTATCAATTATGACTCGTTAGTGCCCTGCCCATGATGATATTTAGGCCCTAAATGTAGGTATAAGCAATTAAATATGTATCATAATGGATTTTCTTAGTCGCTCAGCATTGAAATATGTTTGCTTTAGGCATTTACTTTGCTCATGTATCCCTGATAAATGAATTTCAGACCAAAATTTCAGGCAATAGATAGATAGATAGATAGATAGATAGATAGATTTGTATTTCAGACTAACAGTCCATTGCTATGAGTTGATGATGGATGTACCAGATGGATGATGGATGAACAACAACAAACATCGGTTAAGGCACACTCTCAGTCGATGCACATTCAATGTAGCACAGCATGACAATAGAGCTTACTGAGCCAAAAACGTCTCAGTTTTGATCTGAAACGGAGATCCCCTGAATTGATTGATTCAATGATGCTATTGGGGCTCTCTTCAAGTCTTCTCAGGAACTTATAAATAAGTTTCCTGAACACGCTTTCACAATTCAGCACTCTAAAATATGCACATGTCATACTCGTACTCTCAAATTTAGATAACCCGATAAGTCGTTTAAGAAGGTTGTGATAGCTCACAATGAGTCGATTCATAGTTGCCTTCCTATAGTTCCACCACAGGTGTGCACAGTACATCGATGAACAGTAAGTCTCAAATAGTTTCAGTTTGACATCTACAGTACACATGTGAAACATCCTTATGATCATATTCCCTCTGACAAATCAGTTGGGCAAACTAGACTTTTGGAATCAAAATATGGAGGCATCAATAATTTGATTCTGGTGGGAGGAGCCATGACCAAATATGGGCATGGAATCAATTTTTTGATTCATTTGGGTACACTTTTGACTTCAAATGTATCGTTACGGTTGAAAAAAGGCCCATGACGGTGAGATTTTTCTTTAAAAAGGTAGAAAAATGTGGTAGGTTTCCAAAAAGTGTTACCTCAAAACTAAGAAATTGTCCCTTTGGCCTTGTGAATGGGAAAAAGACAGAGCCACTGTCCATCACGTAAAAGCTGTTTTGAGGAAATCACACTGTATGTTATTTCTGTATCATGAATCACATACTAAGCAATCAGTATTTGTGTAAAATGGCAAATTGAAATTTTCAAACCCCTAATTATCATTGTTGTAGTGCTTTTATATTTATTATATGGTTTTTACCTGTTGCTTCAGATTTTGTATTCTTGACATTTAAAAATTGTGAATTGTTATCAAATGTAGTGAAGGTATAGTACTACAATGCTAAAGGTATCTGTTGTGGTGCTGAGGATACCACTAAATGAGAATAATAGCAAGATAAATGATGTATTCCTGCAAGTCATTGTTGCCTATCTCTTAACATTACCTGTGAATCAAAATAATGATTAGCCAGCTGATGGGGAATCAATATTATGATTATCTGTTTAAAGTGAATCAATTCCTTGATTGCCTTTCACTACCTATATAATTCAAATTGTTATGATAGGAGCAATGTTATTTTGCTTAGGAGATAGTTCCAGCTTTTCTGTTCAAGATCAGGCATGCTCCTTCTTGGAACACTCTCTTATTTTTATGTGATTGGTAAGTTAGAAATGGTCTGCATTTATGCCCAAATATGGGCATAAGGAATCAATCTTTTGATGCCTCCATATTTTGATTCCAAAGGTCTAGTTTGCCCAACTGAAATAAACCTCTGTTCTGATTGGCAATATCTAGATCATCAGTCATGTCTTCCTCTATGATATGCCCAAGATATTTAACTTTATCAACACATACTAACGGCATGGGCCCTAACATAAAATCAGGTATTTTGACATTCCTCATCCCTTTCGATCTACATGACATTGCAACACTTTTTGAACTATAATACACAACATCATTTGCTATACCAAATTCATGGCAAACATTCAACAGTTTTTGCATCCCTGCACTTGATGGAGAGATAAGCACCACATCATCAGCATACATCAAGTGATTGACCAATTTCCGACCTATCAGACAACCTATGCCCATTTCATTTAAAGGGACCCTCCCACCTTCAAAAAAGTTAATGAATTGGCACGAAAGTGATGTCGCTCGGTTCAGAAAGAGCGAAAACGAATATCTACCAAATTTCATCGAAAAATATTCACCGGTTTTCAAGATATTAGACTTTTACTTTTGTTTACTTTTTGGGATCTCCGCTGTTCCTAGCGACTTTATTTGAAAGTGCGGCATTTGTTGCGCGCAAAGCAGCATATACCACCGCGTGCTACCAAACGTTTTAGTAAAAGATTTAAAAATCGTTAGATCTCCGCTGACGTCACAAATTCTAAGGGGGCATACCAATGCACTAGCCCCTTAGAATCCGAAAACTGCAAGTTGGAAATTCCATATCTCCGAATTAAAGCATTTGTCGATGTTGTGAGTGCCCAAACCGGTATTTGCAGGCCATGGCCACCAATTTGGCTATCTCAACTCAAAACTAATGTTAAGGTGGGAGTGTCCCTTTAATCTGCTAGACAACTCATCTATAAACACGTTGAAAAGGGGAGGTGACAAGATACCTCCCTGCCGGACACCATTGGACACTTTAAACTTTTCCGAAAAAGTGGATCCCCATTTAATGACCATTTCTTGCACTTGGTACCAGAACGCAAGCAATCTGGTACACATAAGGAACACCTCTCTCTGAAAGCCTCTGAAAGAGAATTTTATGATTAACACGGCAATGTGCATGGCACACCTTATTCACCATTATCAACACCGCACTGCAGCGTTGTAGGTAGGTTGTAACCAAGGCTATTATTTGTAACTGTAGGCTGTAGCTGCGAATATCTTTGATTGCAACGGTTGAGTTCTTATTTATTGAAAGAAAATTGATACATTTGATCCGTTTCGACTCAGATAAACAATGAAAGTGGTGCGAACTCTTCGTAAATGAGATTTATCCAAAAGTGTTGACATAAAAAATTGCAGTCTTTTAAGAAATATAACTCGATCCTTGATCAAAAGCATTATTATGACGTCACCAAAATCTGTTTATGTTAGCAACCTTCTGATTGGTCGAATCGGAGTTTGGCTGACCAATTGCTCTTCGACTTTTTCGTCCTGGACCAATCACGAAACGTTTAAGTGGATCAATACAAATGCTTCCAAGATGGCAGCCCCGTAAGTGCGTCGTTTACGTTGCATTTCGTGGCGCTCCGCTGCCATGATGATTTGGATGATGTGAACGGGCGTGAATTCCATACGGTTTGATTTCAATAATCAATGCTCCAGTCGGGTATTTCTTCGGCAGGTGAGATACACTAAAATTCATTGTTTTGTGGAGGGTTTTTGGCGATGTGCTTCTCCCTTGTTCCTGTGACCAAATCAGCGTGATGTGTCACATTTGTTGTTTGTCTCGTCATGCTAGAGAACTTAGGTAATAGGTACATAGTTGCATGAATGTTGGTGTATCCACTTATAACAGTTACCTCAACAAATGCCAAGGCCTTTTTACAGTACTGAGCGTTATGTACAGACTTTCGGAATTGTCAAATCCGAGTTCTGTTCCTTGCCACTTATCGATCAATCAATATCAAATAGAAAGTATATCAAATATAGAAATCAATACAGGTCAAATTTTCATCAGGCTGATGCCACTGTATCTCCTATCATCATCATCATTTTCTTTGACAGTGATGCTTTAGCACAGCAGTTCTTTCTGCATGGTTGGGGCCCAACAGGCAACACTGCTCCATACTTTGTCTGCAGACTGGACAGATACACTGTGGTCTGCACCACTCCTCAGTAAATCTGCAATCTGCATTGCACCACACACTGGCTTAGTTCCTCCAACACTGACCACATTTGTATGGAAGTGTGACAAGCTGCACCAGCCTGAGTGAACAATGCCAGCTCTCTTACCGAAGAACGCATCAAATAGAGTGTAGAAGCTGGCTTAAACACTTGTCCATCTGTGGCAAATGCCACAGTGGTATCAAATGGAGTACTCACCAACTAAATTAAAAAAAAATGTTTCATAAAGGAATCCTAGCACCTGCCTGACACCAACAACACCTGGTGCAAGTGAACAGTTACATAATACACATAGCACTGTACTGTAGTCAAGTTTTGCCACTGAGGGCCCTTTACTGCTTGACCTGAAACCTGCACAGGACCATACCACAGTCCATGGTTGCTTCTTACACAAGTAAATCAGCATTGGATGTCTGTTCGATCACTACTTAATGTCAGAAGAGAAACCATACTATTAAAATTGATATATGTCATACTGTAAACTGTCACAATGAGAAGCCACTTTGCAGTGCATGTCAAGACTATGTGAATAAATGAGATTATAAATATGTGAGACTACTTGCCTTGGAAACAGACATTCATGTCTCCTGCTTTGATGTGAAAGCAAAGTTGCAGCCATAGTTGCAGCTTTGCAGCTATAGTTGACCTAGATGTAGCTTGGGATCTCAGTATCACTTAGATATTTCCAGTTTCCTGCATTTTTTTCTGTGAGCAAATGACAATAATGCTAGCCATATTATGGCTGTGTTGTTACTTGTGTACATTTTACCTAACACATTCAGGAAACTTGTGTTCAAAGTTTGGTGTGCTGATTGACTGTATTATTTTTCCTGTTAAGCTTTATAATAGTTCTCATCATGTTTAGAGCCATTTTTTATATTTGTCATAAGTGGGCTCAGGTGCATAGGTGTGTGCCCAATCTTTTTTTAAATAATCTGACTTTTCTTTTCAGACTCAAGTCTAATGGAAACATCTAGCCCTGAATGCAAAACAAGCAATACCCAGAAGAGAGCATCTAGCAAGTCAGAGCACGCTGCCAGGCGGAAGAGTTCTGTGAGCAAGCTGTTCCCTGCCCGACTGGGCGATGTGAGACGCGAGGAGATGCTGAGCGACAGTCGGCCGTCAGGCGACTCGACGGCGCGGCCGTTCCCGTCCGAGGGACGTCACGCCATGGGACCGCACGGCGACGGCCGGCCGCCGCAGGCCGCCCCGCAGGAGTCGGCCGTGAACGGCGGCTTCCAGCAGGCGGTGCTGAGCGACCTGCGCCGCTTCAGCGCCGAGAGCGAGCAGGAGCTGCGCCAGGACGCGCGCGTCAAACAGGAGCCGGCCGAGGCGCCGCCGCCGCCGCCGGCCGCCGGCCAGAGAGAGTGTCATGTGAAGACGGCGCACCCGCACAAGCCGCCCACCAGCCACCGCAGGGAGTCGGTTTCCGAATCTGCGGCGCAGCCGGCCGCCGCCACCCCCGAGCGGCCCGCCGCCACGCCCGAGCGACCGGCCGCCACGCCCGACCGCCCCTCCGTCGGCTACCACCCCAAGCAGGAGATGAAACCTGTCGACCTGTTCGGAGCATGTGATGCACCAAAGCCTGAACACAAACACCCAGTGCACATCAACGGTACCTCATCCTCCTCCGACCGGCACCGGGACAGCCAGCGGAAGAAGGACCACCGCCGCGACCGCGACAAGGGCTGCCGCCGGTGTCACGACAGGAGCCGGCTGAAGCGCTACAGTATCGGTGTGCAGTGTCGGCGTGACAAGGACCGGCTGTCAGGCGGCGTGTCGCGGCCGCTGGCCTCCAATTACACCACGCACGGACTGGAGAAGTACAAGTTCGGCCGCTATATGCACGTGGAGGTGGACCCGAACGGCGGAGCCTCCGTGGTGCACATGTACCAGGACCAGATCGCGGGGTTAGATAAGGAGCAGACGCAGCAACTGGTCAATGAGTACTTCCAGGTCAGTGGCTTTACAGTTGTAACCTTCTGTCAGGAAGGGAAGAAAAGCAGTTGAGTTCATAATCCAAGGGCTTGCCATTGTGGTTTTCATGACACTCAATTTGAGTTCCATAGTTATGAACTTGTTTAGCTATTTTTTCTTACTTATTTCTTTTTTAAAAATGAAATGGAGTGTTTTTGTTTTTAAATGATGCCATTAGAGCTGCCAGTTTCATTTCTCAAGCTTTATGACACAACAGAATCTGCTTATTTCGCAACAGCAAACAAAAGTTTAAAACTACTGGGTTGTAGGTTTTGTTAAGCAGCCCCTCTATCATATGAGTGATGTATATCGATCATTTCAATATCTGCCCTTTCTGCTAGAAAAAAATAGCTCTTACTTGCCCGTCACCGCCGTTAGGTATATGGCGGAATGACCCGGCGTAATTGTATGACCCTATCGGCCCGAGCTGCCCGCTGGGGCGTGGCCCTTGATGTATACACCGTTACCGTACGCTGACGTCTGCCCCACTGTTTGTACAGG